AATGCCATAGGCATTCTCTACCAATCAACCAGTAAGGTATAGGAGACGAATATGATGGCGATAGAGAGCAAGCTACTAAAGTTAGAAAATATAATAACAACATCTTCTGTAAGGTGGAGTTTACTTCCCCAGATCGGAGCTCCAATTCGAGCGAAAAATTCTCTATGGCCAACCTCTCTTGTCGTGTCGTATATTAATTATAATATTTTTTTATAAGTATTAACTGTAAAAAGTATATGACTTACTTTTCACACTACACTACGTAAGTACATACATATATAAGCGTATGCAAAGTTGAAGTACCATTTATTTACTTCTGAAAAGTGCAGCGTACATTACATAGCAAAAACGCAGTCATGGCATTTTCATCTTCTTTTCTCGGCTAGCAACTTGTACTGCAACTATTACCTCTTTGATGAATGGAGGTCTACTTTATAAGTCATTAACCAAAATTTTTATCATATTTCTATTCAGATTCAGATGTAGATATAGCCCGCCTTCTAAAGGCAGTTAGTTCGCTAGTCGAAGTCAGCCACTGCACGTCATTCAATTTCCGCATTTTGCACGATACGTGATATATGCATGCCATAGTAGACATAATAAGTACATACAAATACACATCAAGTTACTACAAAATGATTTTTGTCCTTACATTGTGAATCTGGGTTCAAATCCGGTAAGGGCATTTATTTTGTGATGAGTGCATATTTTATATCTAGTCCTTGATGTTTCTATACCTAGGGGAAAATCGGGAGACTTGCCCAGGTGGAGAGTTGGACCATCTTTCAAAATTGTATTTCGTCTAATATGCACTACACGTCTAACATACACTACAGGCAAACGGTTGATTGTCTGGGGTGACTTCAATATTGATTTATTAGAAAAATCTAGTTCATGTACTTCAATAAAAAAAATATTTCAATCATACAATTTGAAAATCTTATTCATTGAGCCTACTAGAATAGCTGCCATTTCAGCCACTTGTATTGATAATATATATACAGATATTATACCACAGAAAAAACAAATTATTAAAAAACTAGATAGTGATCATTGTGGCCGGTTGATTACATTTCCGTATCAGCTCAAGCAGGTGACAAAAAAACACATCACTGTTATACCAAAAACTGCTAATAGTGTGTAACGTTTTAAAAATCAATTAGATAGAAAATTGTGTTATCTAAAATACAAAGACAGTCCAAATGATTTATATAATGATTTTTTTAATATATACTGCACTGAATTTAATAATGTTTTTGTACCCAAAAAATATGTGTTAATGATGCGGTAAATTTTAGTAAGTGGGCTACGCCTGGAATTCATAAAAGTAGAAGAACACTTTATGAACTTTATAATGAACGAAACTCTAACACTAGGGAAAAATTTAAAGAGCATGTTCGTAACTATTCCAAATTGTTTAAAAAAGTATGCCGCTTAGCAAAATCAAATTACTTAATTCAAAGATTAAGAACAGTAATGACAAAATTAAAATGACATGGAATATTATAAACAATGAAACTGGAAAATCCAAAACTCGCAAAAATAATTATAACCTAAATATTGATAATAAAAAGATTACATCAGATATTGAAGTTGCTAAAGCATTTGAAAATTTCTTTACTGATATTCCAATTTCAACTACGAAATCTTTAAACTCTTCCCCCATTGCTGCCGAATCAATCTTAAGAGAAAACGTGAAACCTTGTACTATTTATTTTCATTTTAAACATGTTGACTTTAAGGATGTAGTAAAAACGTTTCACCAATTAAATAAAAAGAAAACCACGGATCTGTGGGGCAATTCCGTTGATGTTTCTAAATCGGTAATTGAGACAATAGCTCCTATTCTGGCTTGCATATTTAATGATTGTGTTGACTTTGGTGTTTTTCCAGACCTCATGAAATACAGTAAAATTACTCCTTTGCATAAAACGGGAAGTACATCAGACCCCACAAACTTTAGACCAATTTCTGTACTACCCACCTTTAGTAAAATTTTCGAAAAAATCATGTTAGATCAAATGTAATCACATTTTAATAAATATAATATACTTCACTGTAAACAATTTGGTTTTACACGGGGTCGTTCAAGAACCGATGCCGGTGTTGAACTTATACAACAAATTTTTGACGCCTGGGAGAACTCGTAGGACGCTCTGGGTGTGTTTTGTCCAAGGCTTTTGCTTGCGTTTTTCATGAAACATTACTCAGGAAACTCCACCACTATGGATTTAGAGATACTGATCTGGATCTTATTGCATCATACCTGAGGGATAGGATTCAGAGGGTTGACATTAATAGTAATAAGTCTCCGGGTTCGCCGGTTAAGATGGGTATTCCGCAGGGCTCAATCCTAGGTCCTTTCTTATTTTTAATTTATATTAATGACTTACCCGACTATGTAAGAGATAACCATGAGATAGTATTGTTCGCGGATGATAAATCACTTTTAATTAAACTCAAACGCAAGGATAAAGTTATTGATGACGTGAACAATTGTATCTCTAAGGTAGTCCACTGGTTCAATGTTAACAATTTATTACTTAATGAAGGAAAAACGAAATGTATGAAATTTGTATTTGTAAAAACCAGTGTGGATGTAAAGGATAGGAATGTGGGCCTTGTAGACACCACAGTATTCTTAGGGATAACTTTAGATTCTAAGCTTCAATGGGGCCCACATATTGATAAATTGTCAAATAGACTTAGCTCTGCAGCATATGCCGTAATGAAGATACGCCAGTTAACGGATGTAGATACGGCCAGAATTTTATTATTATTCGTACGGAATTTTATTGTGGGGAAATGCCGCCGACATTCAAACTATTTTTGTGCTGCAGAAGAGAGCTATTCGATCAATTTATAATCTTAAAGTTAAAGAATCATTAAGAGATAAGTTTAAAGAATTTGGAATAATGACGGTCGCATCACAATACATATACGAAAATTTATTACTTGTAAGAAAAAATATTAATTTGTTTCTTAAAAACAGTGATGTTCACACAATTAATACAAGAAACAAAAATAAACTAACTTTACCTGCTACTAGGCTTCACAAAATTAATAATTCATTTAAAGGTCTTTGTGTTCGCTTATACAATAAAGTCCCAAGCAATATTCAAGAGTTAGCCATAAATAAATTTAAAGATATTATAAAAAAAGCACTTATTAAAAAAGCTTATTACAAAGTGTCTGATTATATTACAGACAAAAATGCTTGGGTTTGAACTGTTCCAATCATGCCAACAGGTTTTCTATATTAAATAAATCATAATTGTATTGACGTTGTAACAACATAATGATTTGTAAATGTTGTTACATTAGACTTTTAATGTTGTGGAGTTTTTTTCGCTCGTTTTTCTCCGCAGCTAAAAAATATGTCCATAACGAGTGGTAGGGAAAAAACATTTTTGGACGATTCAAAAGAGTTGTACTATACATCCAATTTGAATAAAGATATATTGATTTCTGATTTCTATGCGAGACGCCAATCACATCAAAATCACAGTCTCCCAAGTGACCAATTAACGAATTAACATTTTGTTTGCGCCAAATTTAAGTACAATTTTAAAAGATGGTTCAACTCTCCCACCTGGCAAAGTCTATGTGTGATGTGCCACAGAAATAAATGCCCATCCGTCCGTTTCAAATCCGAAACTTCAATTCATTCAAATATAATTTACTATTTCGACATGGACATAATAAATATTCACCTACTAGCGGCCGCCGGCGACTTCGTCCGCGTTAACTTCAAATTTTTAAGAAACCGTCAGAAACTTTATATTTCCGGGAAAAAAGTATCCTATGTCTCATTTCAGATCATAAAATTCATGCGTACCAAATTTCATCCAAATTTGTTCAGCAGTTTTTGAGTAATCGAGTAACAAACATACAAACTTTCACCTTTATAGGGGCTGGTGGTGGAAGGGTGAAGCTTTAGGTTTGTATGTATTTTGAATGCCACATTAAAAAAAAAATAATGCGAGGGTTGGTTTTGTTTTGATTTTTGTTGGGTAAGGGTAAGGGTTGTCCCTTATCACTTAGGGTACTAAAAATAGATAGTAGCCGATTCTCAGACCTACTTAATATGCATATAAAATTTCATTACAATCGGTCAAGCCGTTTCGGAGGAGTATAGGAACTAACATTGTGATACGAGAATTTTATATTTAAGACTAGCTGACCCAGCGAACTTCGTACCGCCATAAAAATAGGGGCTGGTGGTAGAAGCGTGAAAAGGGTAGTATGTTTATTTTGATGCCACTAAAAAAATGTTGTTTATAAACAAGTAGTGTAAATAATGAGAAAATGTTTTCAATTTTTTTTTATTTTTTACGTCATATTTTATTTTTTATTTCAACTACCACGTAATCTCATATCAACTTGCCAGCGAAGCCGGGTATCATAGCTACTATAAAAATAAATGTTAGGGTTAGAAAACCCTTATCACTCAGGGATATGAAAAATAGATAGTAACCGATTCTCAGACCTACTGAATAATATGCATGCATATAAATTTTCATAAAAATCGGTCAAGCCGTTGTTTCTTATTGGACAACGAAAATTGCGCCAAGGATTCCAAAGAAACAATTATTGAATTAAGAACAACATGGGGAAAATGGGTCTGGTTTTATGACACCACAATGCAAATGAAACTTTTAAAATCATTAATTTAAAAAAGTTCTTTCTCGGTTGGGAATCGAACCCGGGCCGCGCCCGCGTAACAGGCGAGCTTTCTACCACAAAACCACCGATGCTTGTTGATAAGGCCTAAATTTTTAATAACAATTAAAAACGTATTTCGACATGCTAAAACAGAACGAAACAAAATGTGGCGAAATTTAAAAGTTTTGCTTTAAAAAATTAAGACAAGTAAACACTCACCTACTTACAGTAGTTGGTCAATTTACTTTAGAGCAAACCTCTGTCGTAATAAAACACTTAATTTTTTTAAACACTAAAATAAAGGTGTGCTTTAGTTAAAAAGATTTATTTACACTTACTTATTTATCAACTACGACTAAATCGTTGTATATGAAAACAACTTCTCCTACAAACAAAATAATAATTTAAAAATAATGACCATAGGTTATTTAAAAATGTTCTGAATTCAATCAAATGTTTTATCACTCAATTAAATTTAGTATAGACATCACCATCACAATATTATCTAAGAAACTTAAAACCTAAAATTATGTGATTCCAAATCAATTCATAAATATCACAATATGCAAAGTACGAAACGAATAACAATTTCCATAGCAAACAACCGTTATGTTGAATTTCCTTAAATTCGTTAAATCATCAATCATCTCACCAAAGGTATGAAACTTGAGAACTTGACATATATATTTCACATTTTACTATCACATAGTCATAATATTTATAACCTTTATCTATCCTTGACAGTTCGATAACAAGTTAACCAAATAAACTGGATTCATATCAAAAAATATTCAGGTCCTACATAAGACCCACATTTCGGGAAATCCGTTGGGGCTTGGACGAAATCTCTTTCTTCGCCCACTTTAAGTATAAAGTCTAGCCCTCTAGTCCAGTGAGTCGACCTTTCATCCCGCATCATCCAGTAGCCCGGATTATCAGCTTTAAATCGAAGAGCTACGGCTGCAAATTTGGGTATAACGATAGTATCTTTCAAAATGGGATCAATGAGATTTCTATTGAACAGTGTACCTTCTTCGTCCATTCTCTTTATATCGTCGAGGGTCTTGCTGGAATTAAACGCTTTAATACCGACGACGAAGAAACTATAGCCGTGCAAGTGAAAGATGTGATCCGATTCTCCGCCTGAAAACAATAAACAACGGTGTTAGTGATTGCTGTGTAACAACAAGTGCTTAATCCACGATGAATTGATGTAAACAAATTAATCTAGCTCGGCCTGAATTCTCAGTCATTCCATTAGATACGTTTTTTTTATTAAAGTCAACTGCGATTTTGTATAGGTATACGATAATTACTCCTTTTTTAGGATTAATTGTCGGGTTATAAATAGTTTGAGTGATAAGTGTGTGAAATTCACTATTGGACTATTAGCAGAAATATTTAATAAATGCTTAATTATAGGCACACAGTTAGTGCTTTTTCATCAAATCAGTTAAGTATTTTCCAAAGTTTTTCACGATAATAAATAAAGGATTTTTTAAGGAAAAGAAGACTATAGTAATATTTTTAAGCATTTAACTGCTAGATGCTTTAATCTAAAGACAATTTAACTAGAAAAAAAATTCACGCAGACCAGGCAGCAGACAGGACTCGAACCCTTCTCTATCCGGGCGAATGCACTGACCATTATGCTACCGCGGCCCTGATGGCCGATGGGCTGATGGCCTCGAGCCTAAGAAATGCTAGAGAAAATTCGACACGGCCATAAGGGCCGCGGTATCATAATGGTCAGTGCATTCGCCCGGTTAGCGATGAGCATAGTAATTTTTATACTGACAGATCGCTTTATTATACATTTTACATCATTTATTGCATTTTCAAAATGTCAGTAGGTAAGAATATAATGTATGTTCATATGAAAAAACAGATATTTCATAGTCTATGTATGTACCTACTGGTAGTATTATTATATACTACTCGTAAATACGTACATAGGTTTGAAATTATAGGTACCTGTATTACATACTACTACAAACATAACAAGCCACTTAAAAGTTTTCGCGTTGTTGTTACTGTATTTATGGTTACAGGTCCCTACGTTTATTGAACTCCCCCGTCCGTACAAGGAAAAGCCCAGAAGCCAAATAGCCGCCATAAATATTCAAATAATTTCCATCAAACAAGCTATTTAAACAATTTGATCAAATTTGGTATGAATTTGTGTGAGAAATTTTGATCAAAATATGTTGCCAATCGACATGAAGAAATATAATTTTTCGAATTTCTGTTTTATCAAACTGTTTGAAACAGCCTGTTTGATCAAATTACTTGAACTTCTATGGCGGCCATAATGGTTATTGCTCAGATTTTTTCCAACTTACTCAGACTTCATAACTATGTTAAAAGTCGATCTACTATTGAATATCATTTATCTATCAAATAAATATGGACGTTAGTATACCTACATAAAAGTATTGAGAATTCATGATGTAACTTTATGCTCAGCATGCCTACATAACTATTTAATCCGATTAAGGTGTTACATCTGTTAAACCTACATAATTTTACCAGCACGAATAAAAATACAGTGTCGTAGAAAGTGGAACTTTTGAAAGAGACAGCGGTCCTGTAATAAACGTATAAAAATATACAGTCATCATAACTATGTAGTTTTTTATAGTGCAGAATAAAACACCGAATGTTGGGTCACGTGCCAGTCAAGAATAGCAACAAATGAAAGTTTAAATCCGGCAGTAATACCATTGTTAGACCGGTATTCAAGTATCTATATGAACATTTACGATACAAAAGTCTTAAGTATTTATTGATAATAGCACAATGCATTCAAAATAGCAATAGATTGTATTTTATTAGATACAGTTAAACGTCACATGCGTTTAGATAAGAACTTTCCAGACAACTTTTAAAATTTAATGCCCTCGAAAATTAAGTATCTTTTATCATTTTTTTAGCACTTCAACAATAAACAAAATACACAATCCATTTATTAACACGAAGTAAAATTCAGTTCGCCAGAGTTTCTGATTGCTTAATCACCAAGAATCTGTTATTAAAATGTTTGTATAAATTAATAAGTGCAGTGGAAGAATGAGTTCATCGAGGTTTCAAACATTAAATTTCGGTCGGGGATATCAAATATGTAAAAAGTTTCGGCGCTGTGGTAGAGAAGCGCGCGAAAATGACAATGTTTCTTTGTTTAAATTCATACCACGCATTCAGCAGCGAAAACTGTGGCTGCCTGATAAGCAAGCCCTTGGCGCGGATCGCATTTAAAATGTGAAGGATCATCAAATTTATTTAAAAGAAAACAGTATAACACTGGACACACGGGTCTTATATTGATTTTTTTATTATTATAATATTGGATGCTTTAATGTTGACAACAAAGCTAACTGTATTGTTTTAAACTTTCATGGTCACTAACATTATAGTAATATAAGTTATTTACGGGATTGTTACCATGTAGCTTAACTCAATATCGGAAACTTGCTAAAAACAAGGTACATGGTAACAATCCCGTAAATAACTTATATTACTATAATAAGCTAACTGTTTCAAAATCTTTAATAGCGCTTTTAAAGCATGAGTGTAGAAAAAATAAATAAGTTAATAAGAATCTTTTTGCTTTAAACAGAAATGGATGTCCAGAATATACTTTATTAAATTACTAATAGAGGTAATATCATATTATTGCAATCAAATTATAAGTAAAAATATTCTTGACAAGATGATTATGCACCATAACTGACCCAACGAATATTGTAAAGGTCATTAAACTAGTTATTCGGTGAAATTTTCTACAACATGTTGCTATCAATTTTCGTATCCTATACTGGACTGGACTGGGTGCGAAAGTAAAACCAAGGCCTTAAGCTTAGATTAAAACAAAAGGGAATATACGGCACTCATGGATCTTAAGTGATCCGCTTAAATTGTGGTGCACGATCACAATTCGCTGTAGTCACAATTGGACATTCGAACACGCTGCATGTGCGCTCAATACAACAATATTGCGTATATTCTGTGTTATAAAGATAAAACAATGGCTTCGATGCTTATATAAAGAACACAAATAGTTTAAAATCAAATAACAAATGCCTCGGCAACACTTGTCATTCGTAAAATATATAAAACTGTAAAATAATTATTTTCTCAAAAATCACGGTTTGTCGTGAATGTTATTTAAGTAATCGCCATTTTGTTATCAAGAAAAGGACAACAATACAGCTCAGTCGTTCGCACTCGGAAGCGGATTCGTCGTTTCGCTCTCTCTGCGTTGAAGCGTACAGTTCTGTCTTGCTCGCTCGATTGAATGTTATTTACAGACGTGTGAGAGTTGCTTATGTAGTTGAGCCGGATCATATATTATTTGATGGTAGTCTGAGCGTACCGTATCTTCCCTTTTTGTTTTAACCTAAGGCCGTAAGTGATATAGGCGTTAAGATATTTTATTTATAAAACTTGTTGCAAATATCAGCCCGAAACCCTACTACAAAACATGACAGAGACATGTAGATATACATGTCTCTGTCATGTTTTGTAGTAACGTTTCGAGGCATCCTGCAACGTCTCAACTTCGTCCTAGTAAATTGTTTTCGTAGATAATAGAAATTCATGTGGCAGTCCTCAACTTTAACCCACTCAAGTATGAACGCTCACATTCTGAAAGATCCAGCACTTAAACCATTCGTCAGTTATGCTTAAAATAAGAGTGTACTGCATACGGTACTGCTACTTTGCGCTCGTCTAGGGCAGAAACCATCTTAAACCACGGGGTAAGAAAATTAGGCGAATCGGTCATTTCACACATACATAGAACTGATAGGAAAATGACTGGATCTTTTATACAACTTTGAACCCACGTTTTACCCCTTTAGGGGGTGAGTTTTGGAAAATCCAAAACTCTGTGGTTTGAGCTGTGCGTTGATATATCAGTCAGTAATGATTGCCTTTTATATATACAGAAGATGAAGTAAAGGTATTTACGCAATTTCTCTTAACACCAAAATGATTGCAACAAATTCGCACAATCTATGTCTAACACAACAACAAAAACCTTAAAGGCCACTCGGAATTTTTCCGTTAGATGTTCACTTCACACTCAATAAAACATTTTGCCGAAACATCTGTGTATCTTGAATAATTTAACAGATCTCGCCTTCTGTAAGTTGACACTCTCAGCTATCCAAATATCTTGAGATTTTCACGAATATATTGTACCTATCCGAAATATTCTGTGGGTATGTAAAAATGCATGACTCTAAATTCTTTTCAGGGCTGGTATTTTTCAATCTTTATTTATGTAAAAAATAGATCATTTTCCATACTCAGCTCCTATTGAAAAATATGTTCTAAGTTTGTATTGATAAATTCAATGTTTTGTCTCTAACCGCCGAATTAATATATAACTGCTTATGAACTAATTATGAACGAAATCACTACGAAGTTTGAGCGATGTGAACGAAATACTAAGAAACTATTTCGAGCATTTATTATTATCATCATCAGCCTGGTTTCCCCGCTGCTGGGGTACAGGCAATTCCTATGCATGGAATGAAGAGAATGAGCCATAAAATACGACGTGTGCCTAGTACTGATGGGTGGTCTGCTTACCACTACAGATGAATCTCTTGACTAGTATATAGGTATCTGTGGCCAAGACCAACGGCATAATGTGCTATACAAAGATAAGGTCGATGTAATATAAAATTTTGGGCACCCATGCTAAGGCAGGGCATTGGGAAAATTGCTGAACTCCCACGATCGCAGACCAAATGACTGTACCTCGCTTTCTTTGTTCATTAGCTATAAAAAAACATATGTGAAATTTTTATTACAGCAAAATTTTTATGTCTAGAGAAACTGTTAGATATGAAATTTATGGTCTGTCCGTCAATAGGGATGATGACTAACTTATTTTTCTTCGTTTATCAGATAGATTATTAAAAAAGTATTGAACGCATATTTCACATAATCAATACATTATAGAGATATATTGATTTGTAATGTCACATGAGTTCACGCCTTGGTAGAATTTTAACTTAGAAGTAAGTCACGAGCTCTCTTAACCTTAACTTTGTAATTTCTTGATTGATCGACAAAAGAAAAATATGTGTGCTTTATTTTTGTTAATCTAACTGAAGGACTAAAAATAATTTCGT